CATAAAGTAGGAGGCAGTGGCTTGAACAAAGAGCTTGTAACCAGTGCCCTGAGAATGGAGGGCTCCATTTCAGCAGCTCTGCCAGATGCTACCAGGGGGTTCAGGAGTCACTGCCTCATGTCATGTACCCCATCTGTCAGTCCCTCCTGCCCTGGGAACAGAGATGGCAGAAAGGGCACAACATCCATTCCTCAGCCTCACTTGTTCACAGGCTGCTGCAATAAATGAAATCTCCATCTCTACTACACTGAAATGCAGCAGCTGATGCTCACCAGATGCAGCCCGGGAGTTCACTGCCTCCCACAGCTGCCAAACTTACAGGTATCACAAATCTGAGCTTTAGAGCTGCTAACTATTACAACTTCCAAGGAAAAACTACAATCAGATCATGGAAAGTTTCAATAAGCCAAGTGGCAAGCACTGTTCTGTACAATAGCATTAGCTGTGGCTTCTCAGGTTCTGAGACCAAACACAGCTTAGGTCACCAGTCCTGGTTTCCTCTGACTTAGCTGGACTTGGCTGAAGAACAAAGGTACCAATCTCAAGCTTTTTAAGGTAAAGCAGAGGGCCTGGCCAGCCTACAGCACTGTGTGTTCTGGCACAGTTTCATGGGCAGTGCCAGCAGAGAAACTTCCTCCTGACACAGCTGGACAATCACTGCAACTCTGCCAGAGAACAAGGGGAAAGAGAAGTTGTCACCTCCACACTGCCAAGCATTTTACAGAATTCATCATGTTTTCCACTGCACATCTTCCTTTTGCTGTCAGCCTCATAGGAAAATGCAGCAATCTGCAGAAGAATCTGACACTGGCACTTCATAACATCCTCTGTGGTGACTAAGTCCTGTCAGTGGCCCGTGGCCTGCTGGCTCACAGACAGTTGTGTTAAATCAGGAATGAACTCTGGACCATGTCATCTTGGTCTCAAGTTTAAACATTTCTGATCCTTGTGACTATGAACAGGCTGAACCCACTTGCTGCTTTCAAAAATTTCAGGCTAGTTTCTTGAGCCAATTACATTGTGCAGGGCAATTCTCAGCTCTGTCAAAACAGCTTTTGGTTCTCTGGAACACGAATGAGAACGAGGCTGCCAAAGTGTGTGGAAAATGAAATTCCAGCTGCTGCTGCCAGAAAGTTACAGGAGAATACCATCCACACAGAAACATGTGCTGAAAATAGGAGTGTCTGGGCCTGCAGCTGGTGGATGCTCTTTTCTCTGATGGCTCCTGTGAGGTGAGGGTAACCTCTCTGGTACAGACCTGCTGAAGCCTTTGAGGCCTCTCCTCCCGCCCTCGTAGAGCTCTGGGTCGTAGCTATCCCAGGAGGATCCCGTGGGCCTGATGGAGGTTTTACTCCAGCTGTTGCTGCAGCGTTCCAGTTCCTCCAGTTGCCTTTTCACTGCCCCTGGGTTCTTGCAGAAGTCACAGCACTTGTTGCAAGGTGGGGTGGCGTCGCCAAAGTACTTCGCGATGGCAGCGTGGCGACAGCTTGGAAACACAAGGCAAAATCATCTGGTCATCACTTCTATCCACAAAAACTCCACCCTCCAAATGCAGGGTGTCTTTAGATAAAGATTTGAGTCCTGTTTTTTCACAGAGAATGTCTATTCCAGCAGGAATCACAAGGTTTAATCCCCGTAGCAGAATTCGGGCTCTGTTCCTGGCACCTTGCTTAAAGTCTCTCTGCCTTCACTTCCCCATATGTAAAAAACCATCAATGTTAATCTCTTCTGCTAAACCCTTTCAGGTCTTTGAGACCTGTAAAAAAGGAGCAGCTGATGAAATATACAGTTATTAATTCTGTATCACTGGCTAAATATATTCCATGTCCTATCAGGCTGGCTGTAAGTAAAGACACCCCATTGATCACTACACTTCAGAGAACACCTCACATTGAAGAACATCTCACATTGAAGAGCTTCTAGGTTTATTATTTGTGATTTGAAGGTGAAGAAATATCTATTTGAAGACACAGGAATGTAAAGAAAGTCCCAGGAATAGAGACCAGAGTGAGGTCACAAGGAAGTACCATTCAGATAACACAGCCTGGATCTTGATGGGCTCACACATGCTCCAGGATCAGCACCCAAAGTTTGGGTAGAGTCCTACATGCATGAAAACCAGCTCATTTGCTCTCACAGGATTGCACAACCAGTTTACCAGGATTAGCAAACCAGCCATGAGAAGATTACTAGATTCTTCCAGAAATTTTCAAAAGATTTTTGGCAGGCATCAGTGTTTTGAGGTACATAAAAAAAAAGAATTTGGTGACAATATGCTCACTAGCAATACAGGCAGGAAATAATTTCTCTTCTAAAACACTCCCCAACTTAAACCAGGGAACACACTGATTTTGCCAAAAAATGATCAGGCAGTTACTTTTTACTTTACCCTCCCCCCTCCTTTTTTTTTTTTTAAGAAAGCAGAATTTAGAGGAGTTTCTCAGCAGAGGTGGCTAGTTGAGTGTTATTCAAAAAGCTGACAATAATTATATGAAAACATTCACTTAATTGGGCATTTAGAGATCAAATCCAGCAACCAAGTGGGAACAAAAGTTATTTTAAGAGAAAATTATTTTACTACAAGGAAGAACAAAGTGGAAATTTTTCTTCTCCACCAAGGTGTGCCCTAGTGGGCTTCCCAATTTCAGCTGCAAAAAGTGGGTCACAGAGGGGAAGAGAGCAAGCACCTCATTTACTCTTATTCTAAACCCTTTAAGGCATGTCAGAACTTGCCAGAGATCTACCAAATACAGTTTTCTTCTTCATTTGTGTCTGTGTGTGTCTGGAGGGAACACAACTGCATGTTGTGAACCAAACAACTGCATGTTACCAAAGCATCACAAACAAACCCCAGAGGGGGTGCAGGGGCTGCTGGCTCACTCCTTCCCACGGCCTGGGAGGTGGATCTGGAAGGCAGCACAGCAGCAGGGCACAGGCTGCTGTCCCCAGCAGTGACCTGAGTGTGCTGAAGTGGCAGGGAGCTGGCAGTGCTCAGGTAAGGGGCTGCAGCAGGGTGTCTGCACCGTGCAGGGCACCAAAGCCTGGAGAGGCTCTGACAAAGCTGCCATTATATCCCCCTGCAGAGCCACACTGACTCACTCTGCTCCTGCACTCAAAGAGCTCCTTTCACATGGAGGGCAAGGCTGGGGGGACCGAGATGGGGGCAACACATTTGATACCCTTGTCCTGCCTCTCCAAAAGAACCACTGGTGCTGCCTGGCTTGCCAGTGCAACGTGACTATAGAAATGTCAGCAAGCTGCAAGTCAGCTTTTTGTTTCCCCCAAAGAAAACAGGCAGCATTCTCATTAGTCCCTGTCTCTTCCCCTCGCACGCACTGATCTGTATTAGAGTTAACTGAGGCATTCAGTGAGGGACAAGCCCTCTCCCCACTCCCACAGCTCACCAGGCTTATGCTGGGAAGGGACAGCCACACACACCTCTGTCCTTTAGATGCCACAGGGGAGGGCTTTGGTGGAAGCAGAGATCAGCTGTGAGCTCACTGGAATTTAGAGTTCCAGTTTCTAACCCATCAGGCTTGTAAAACCAAGCCCTTCCCACCCAGCCTACTGTAATGCTGTAATTGCCTTTTTCTTCCTGAAGAATGACCCAGATTGGGGCCACAGCCCCACTTTAGCCAACGGTGTTCAGGAGTTAGGCCATAACGGAAATTCAGTTGCAAAACTAAAATTGCAATCCTATAATTAAGGTCAAAAGACAAAAAACGAAGTTACCAACAGGGATGCTGGGGTTAACCACTGGATTAATACTTAACACAAGAGTTCCTGAAAGACAGTTGGTTATGCATTAACATGTGAGGGGAAAGCTTCCCCTGTCACACCAACACCTGACTAATGCCCACGAAATCGAGATGATTTACATAAATTAATGGTAGTTTGTATTGTTATACATGTCCTAAAATTACTGGATCTTTAAAATATGCTACTGTATTATTTGTCTCCCTTTGCCCTTCAAAAGAGTTATGTATGAGCTGACCACTGGTCTCTAAAATGTCTAAACAAAATCATTATGTCATTTCAGACATTCCCTCCCCCCTCATCTGACATCATGGAATGGGATGAAGAGCAAATAACAAAGAGGTTTATTAACACATTTTTGTCTGTGGCAATGCATTTCAGAAAAGTTCTAAACTGACCACAAAGCTGCCTGCACTTGTGTAGCTTTGGTAGTCCTTGTTTTTATAGACCACAAAAAATAGGAGCGCTATTCCTGCAATTAGGAGAAGCAGCTGGACAGCCAGAGAAGAAGCAAAGTCACATATCCCAAAAGAAGCTCTGTCTCTCCCAAAAAACACCAGAAAAAAGCATTCCCTTGTATAAGCCAGAGGGTACAGAGCCTCATCAAAAATGCTCCCTGAAATAAACAACTCAGCAGGTCTTGGAATAATGTGAAGTGAAAGGGTTAAAAAAGATAAAAATCACATGAGGGCAAATTACTTATGCAGTTGTCAAGCGAAAGCCATTTAATGAGCTTTACCAAATAGAAGAGCAAGTCATGAGGTTGATGAGAACTTCTAATTTTGCACCTGTCTGAAGGACTGTGTCCTTTCATCATCACCCGAGCTTCACCCTCTGAGACAAGACAGTGCCAGTCAGCTGTCCCCAGAATACAAGAAGCGAAAAGCTCAGCATCAAGAGAGTAAATGACTTGGCCAAGGGCACGGAGCAAATTCACCATCCCAGCATCAAATTCACTGCCCCAGCAATGTCCCTGCTGCCCTGCCCGCGGCAGGTCTCTCACAGAGCTGCACTGTCCTTGTGAGCACTTGCTCTGCCCTTTCAATGAGCACAGGAGAAAAGCTCCTTCTCCTGGGAGCCGCAAGGAAACCGGGCAGCTGAAAGGAAAGTTATTCGCTTTAACACCGCCCCAAACTATCGCAGCCAGGGAATCCATTCAAGTCTCACGGCAGAAAAAGGCGTCATTAAAAGGTAAAGAAGAAACTCCTCTCTCGGAGGAGATGCACAGAGGAAGCCAGCAACAAGTGCCGGCCCTCGGGCGCCCCGGGGAGCTGGCACCGGCTCTGGCTCACCCTGCGGTGGCTCCTCTCCCTCCCTCTTTGGCACACATGTAACACGAAACTTCGCATCTCCACGACAACCAGCAACAAAAAAAAAAAAAAAGAAAGAAAGGCAGAGACAACAGCTGGCTGTCAGCAGCGGAGCAGAGAGGAGCCGAGCGAGCAGCGAGCCGCAGGATGAGGGGAGAGATGACGTGAAAAGTTTAAGAAGACGAAAGAAAAACAAGAGGAGAAGCAGAGCTGGCGGTCGGGGTAAGGCTGAGCTATCGCTGCTGTTCGGTCAAGCGCGGAGGGCTGGAGCCTGGGGAGCTCCCCCGGCTCGGTCAGCCATGGAGCAGAGCTTGGGAGGCGGAATTTGCTTGCCAGGGACACCAGGAGCCAAGGTGGCAGGAGAAAAGCTTTTAATGGGATTGCGGAGAGCTGCGCCGCAGCCGCCCTGTAACAAAGGAGCTCCGAGCCCGAGCGGGACTCCGCAACTCCTCTGCCGGTGACAAAGGCAGGCTGCTCGGGTTTCTGTGCTCGTACAGAACGTATGTCCCGATAAGCTGGTGACCTGATACAGAAATGGTGTGGACAAGGCAGCTGGGTCCGAGGCTCTGCGTGCCTTAGCGGGGAGCACAGGCAGGCGCGTACGAAACCTGGCGGGTGCCAGCCACGGCTTTTCCCGGAGCTCCTCCCAGCTGCAGCCAAGTTTTATCCCCCAAATCCTGATGCAGAGAGCTTAGAAAACAAACCCTGGTCGGGGAGCTAGCACGCTGTGCAAGTTAAGCATCTGTGTCCAATAGAAATAAACGGAAAGATTTTACAGAGTTGCTAATGAGAACATTTAAAAAAAGAATTCAGCCAGTGTATCAGGCACAGATGCTGGTTTAGTGCTCAAAGCAGCATGAGAACCACTGCTCTGAGAGGCACGTTCATGCACATACACAGCTCAGGGCTTACAGTAACCACACCGTCAAGTTTGAATGCAGTGAGAAGGAAGAGTAAAAGGATCACCTAAATACATGAAATTTTACAACACAGAATCATTTAGGTTGAAAAAGACATTTTAGGCGATTGTGTCCAAGCTTTGGTTTTATAGAGGTGTCCCACCTGTGCTCCCATCTCTGTTGTCCTGTTGGGTACAGGAAGAGGGGCTGGTAATGGAGACTGCCCTGATAAATCCCCATTTTCTGCTATCTGAAGCTGACTTCTCTGTTTGGAAGCTGCTGCAGCTCCCAGCACTGAGCTGGGACCCCTCAGCCTCTGCCAGGAGGCTCAGGGGCAGTCAGCTGTTTACAAACTGGAGCAGAAAGCCAAGTCTCACAGAAAAAAGGTCTTCCCAATCCTACATATGCCTGTAGGGAGGAATGTTAAGGATCAGGTATTTCCACTTCTCTCCATTTCCATTAACAAGGAATGGAGGGCAGGTCTTTCTGACCTAGTGTTGTACAAACATGGAATTGGAACTGCCTGAGTGAGGAGAGGTAGTAGTTCAGACCCACATGCCTCCAGCCTGGCCCTAAGGCTCAAGGGGATGGAGGGAAGTTTCCATCCTGCTAATGGAGAGTCTCTGTAGGTTGCTTGTTGCAGTTAAGAGAGTTTCTTAAATGAAGCATGTGAAAAAACAAAGTTTAGCGAAACAACAAATTAAAAAAATAAGGAGGGAGGAGTGAGGGGAGAAGGGCAGGGGAGGGAAGGAGGTGGAGAAACATGCCAAGTTTTCCTGGCCAAAATAAAATCTTAATGGGTTTGGCTGGGGGCTTGTCCAGCTGCAGCCATGCTGTTGATGTGTGGGGGGAGAGGCACAGCAATGTGAAACACATGTCTGGATAAAAACAGCAGGACATGGCTTGTGTTACAGCTGTCACAGTGCACGGGCCTCAGCCTGACTGCAACCAACAGTGGGTGTGGGAATGAAGGTACAAAATAATCCAAGTTTGACAGAGTGGCTCTTCTCTGTAAGACAAACCCTGAGCACAGAGCCTGCAGTGGGCCAGAGGCACCCACTGGCCAGCAGGGACTGTGAGGGGCTGGGAGCAGCACCCACCCCACAGCTCCATGCAGGCTCTGTCCATGCAGCCACAGCTGATGAGCTTCCAAACAATTCCTCCCAAGGCAGCAGCTGCTGCAGATGTTGATTTTTGAGCTCCTACACCCCAGTGGCACCTTTACTAGGATTAGTCCAGGATATTTCAAAAAGCTCAAAAATGCATGTAATTTAGGAGACTTGTAGATGTGAGATCAAGGACAGGGCACAGAAGTGGCTGTTACAAGGTGGAGGAGTTTCCAGCACTCTCAGGGCCTCCAGATGCTGGACCTCAAGCACCAGCTACTGATAGATCCCACTATGTTTGTGAAGTCTAAAGGCTTTCACAGGCACACAGCTACCTCTCAGTCAGCTTCCTGGGAAATGGATATTTTGCTAATATTAGAATAGACTTTCAGGCTAGATTCAAGCATCACCAACCCTAAAAAAAGTTCTCTTGTAGAAGAGCTACAGGTTTATTTTTAAAATTGACCTTTTCCTTTCATTGGATGGTTCAGTGTTTTGGTTTCCCCACTTAAAAAATTTCTAGTAGTGAGGAATTATCTCATGAGGTTTTGTGGACATGTTTGTGGGACGGACTGGAGAAAACCAGGGTGATCTGCAGAGGTGAAAAGACTCCCAGCTCAGTGCCCCAGTGGGCACCTCTGCTACTGAAACTGGGAATTCAGTGCCTTTTTACATCAATCTAATATTAGGTTGTAGGGAAGAGAAGGCACATTTACACTGCTGCCTCAAAACCCATCTCCAAATAGTGGGTGGTGGAGATGACAGGGTATTCTGGCCAAAGGGTGACCCAGGCAGGGCAGCTTTAAAATCTCAGGAATGTGTGGCCTGCTCCAAACCAACTGACAAAGTCCCAGCTTTCCTCCCATGGTATTGAGCTACAATTTACCAGTTTGGGTGTGTGCTGTTCAAGGGCTGAATTCTCTTGATACTGGAAACTATTTTCATCTGCTTGGGAATGAATTATAGGTCTGTCTGGCTCTGTGCACTCCTGTTTTAAGAAAAAATGGGCTTGTCTGAACTATAGTTAAGATTCACATGGCTGGTCAGCTACAATCATGGCAGCAAACACTGCATGAACAATGATGAGAGAAAACCATGCACTGATAATACAACTGCATTTCTATGGCCCTTTTCATCTCAGCAGTACACTAAAAGCTTAGAACAATAAACAATCATGCAGGAATTATGACATGTTACACCAAAATGCATCCACTGTAGGCACACCTAGCAACCCAGCATTGTTTGAGAACAGGAAGCACTGCAGACCTTATCCATATAAAATCAGAAGGACATTTCAGGGACCAAGAACAAAGCTGGTACGTTTTGAAACTGGCCAAGCCTTCGTTTTCTTTAAAAAGTGGCCAAGTACAGTCAGAGCTTATTTTAGAGTTTTAGACCAGAATAAAAAGCATCCCCTTCCTTTTGGCTGCTCAGCACCCTCCTTCCATGAGGTTGGGCTTGCCTTGTAAGATTTCCTACCAGATAAGCCTTCACAATCCATACAGGCTTCCCATCCCTGTACAGGTCCAATTTCAACCAATTTATTGGACTAGTCTGAGTAAGAACAACACAACATTTGTTTCTTCAAAGCCCCAGTCTTAAGGAAAAGCCAAGGTTGCAATGAGAATGTTGCCCTGGCATTCTACTTGATGGGAACATCAGGAAGAACATCCGGTAAGGTCTCTGGAGCCATCCTGCTGTGGGCAGTGGGCAGTGGAGGAGAGCCAACTCACCATCACTGGGACTCGCTGCATTAGGACTAGAGGCATTGGCAGCTTCTTGTTCCCCCCAGAATTCCCCCTCCCAAAGCTTTATCTCCACTTGTAGGTTACTAGAGCAACAAACCTATGCAAGCACAGTAAAACCAATGGATCAGGATTATGGCAAGAACAATATGAGAAGCATGGCTGGGTTAGGGGCAAACAAGAGTGGAAACCACACTTTCATCTACATCCATCCTAAACAGGCTCAGTGAACAAAGTGTACAAAGTACTCAGCAAAACAATGGCCAGTTCAGTTTGTAACTGCAGCAAAACCAGGGACTTGTTGCCTTTCTATCTAAAGATTTCCAAGCATGCTGGAAACTTGGACACACAACAATTAACAAACAGAGCTCTGATGTGGTTCCATGTTCTGCTGTCTGCAGAGATGAAGTCACCCAGCACTGGGACGTGATGACTTACCCAAAGTCACAACCAGGGAGCATCACTGGCAGGCCAGGGAGACTGCCTGTATTTACTAACTTCCAGTCCTGGGGCTAAACCACAAACTTAAATTTGTGCTTTTTGCACTAAAAAAGGCTGCTTAAATAGCCCCAGGGATATGTGTAAACAAGTGTCTCATTCTCAGCAGCAAATTTCAGCTCACCCACTCCCTACAGTTCACCTGTGGATGCAGCTGTGTCCACACACAGATCAACACAGACCAAAAACCCCAAATGTACAGCAAAAATGCAAAACCAAAATGTACAGCAATTCCAAAAGACTCACAGCACCCTCACCAGCTTCAGGCAGGCACAGGGATGTGAGACCCTACTGTACATGGTCATCTCAAAGCTTTTTTCTTGGAAAAAGAAACCTCCATATGCAGCCAGTTCACAGCAGAAAGGAACCTTGATGGAGGCTTTTCTCTTGAATGTCTAGATTGAGGCTTTTTAATGGCTTTATTCTCCAAGGGGCTGAGCAGCCAACTTCTTTGAGTGCTTCAGCATGGCACAAGTCCATTAAAACAACTCAGAAAGAGAATTTCAGTGCTATTATGGCAATTTTCACAGCTTTCTTCAGTGGGCAAAGCAAGATGAATCTGCATTAGTGCTTTCTGGGAATCTAAACCTATGTAAGTCCTAAACACAGGACATGCACTCCGGTTTTCCAGGGTCATGTAATCCTTGCAGCTGAGCAGCACACCTGCAGCTGTTTGCCACTGCCCTGCATCATTTCTGTGCTCTGTCCTTTCAACCAAGGCTAATAACTCGTGGCACATGGCAGAATGGGCCTTTTTTTTTTTTCATCAAAACCAAATAAACCCAAATTAAATTATTTGTTTTATTCCCTCCCCCTGCTGGGCCTTGCAACATTAGAGGAGGGCAGAAAGGTTTGACAGTATAGTTCCACTGGCATCACTGATTGGATGAGTTATTTCTTAAGTCAAAACCATGAATTTCAGGCTGCCACCCCATCCCAGCAGGATGTCACAAATGTCTGCCTGTGACAAGACATTGTATTACTTTCTTTTCTATGTGAGATCTTATCTTGTCTCTCTTCATCTGATTTTCACTTCATTTGAGCTCTAACTACAGCTGTGGAGCAGAATTTCCTGACATCAGTCTGACAATGTGTTATGAAGACCACATTGCAGTGTGGTCATTCAGGACTTCTTCCATGACATGGATGAGTTACATCAGCTCTGCTGCCCTACAGTCAAGTCTCCTCTGTTCTGGAGGGTTCCCATCCTCAGTGGGTGAAGTTTTGAGGAAGGACAGTGATGAGCAAGAAGAAATTCCCAACTGAGGGAAACACTGACAGACAATTATATTTTCTCCAAACTCCTGAGAATCTCTGAGGTACTAACACTCAAGTTAGGCTCTTCCATGGAGTGGCTCTGGAAGAGCCACTCAAGTTAGTACCTCAGCACTCCAGGCCTAGAAAGTAAACTGTCAGTTAGGGCCCACAACCTTAAGTTTCAAACCTCTTAAGACTTCCCTGTTTTAATAATTATCATTAGAGTTACTGCTTCAACTGAATATCCTGCACCACCTGGCCTTTACTACTGTTGGTGACTGGAAGCTTTTTTCAACACAATATAATAAAACAAAAGGAATTAATTCTCACAGCTTCACTCTGTTATTGTAATGTCATCACCTTTGTGTTGTAAATGAGGCAGATGCATAAGACAACTGGTTTAAATTACACTATCCTTACCCTTGTGCTAATCTCAAGGGTAAAATCTTGGTTCCACTGAAATCAATTGGGAAAAGGTCACATCAAAACTAGTCCTGAAGAAAGACTTTACATCACAAGTAGAATGGAACATACAGAAGTCTATTAATGTAACTGGCTTTCTTGGAGGAGTTTTACTTTTTTCCTTTAAGAATTATTTTATCCTTCACCCTTTTGCCTTGCTGCAGAAGCAGAAATCCCAAAGCAGAGAGTCCTTGAAGCAGCAGAAAGTGCAGTCAATCAGAAAAACATTTGCTTCCTCACGAGTAGATTGGAGACTGCACCACCACCATCAAACTTTGTCCCTGATGTAATTCAGACCAAGGTAAACAAGCAACATTCCTTGCAAGTTTTAGAATAAAAACTCCTTCACTCAGCTCCAGATCAGGTACCATGGGTAGAGTGGAATGTCCATTACAGAGACAGGCTTTATAATTTTTGACTAAGCACTTTGCTAATCCACATGCAGTTCTACAATCAGTAGAACTCAGTAATGTTACCCTGTATAACCAAATTTCAAAGCCTGGCTCTTATACCTGTTGCTTCTGATGCAACCCAAAGCATGGCATGGAAGTTCACAGCAAATTCGTTATGAGGAGAGCTTCTGGACAGGCAGAAACACCTCCAAAGGGAACAAGCATTTTCAATGTTAAAGCCAGAAATTTTATTTTTTTGAATTTTTTTCTTCTAGAGCCAAGAACAGGATACACAAATCATTTCACCTCTGCCTCATCCACCATCTCTTAGAATGGAAACAAAATTGAAAACCTGTTGACACAGAATCCTGCAGCACTAAGAATAAAGCAGCCGTTTCTGGAGAAGCTCACTTGGGGTATGCAATCATCTGGAAAGAAGTATTAAACCCTAGTCTCAAAAGGTGACCTTTTCAGGTCAAAAGACCACAGCAATGCCTCCTTCCTGAATTGCAGTGATCTTTCTGTGGATGTGGATTTTCCATCCACCCCCATTTCTAAGAAACCAGCTGGTTCCGATTTTTATTCCTTAGCTTGGATTTAAAAGAACAAAGAAAACCCTTTTTGAATTGCATAAACATACAAAACTAATTTAACTTGGCACTGTAGTACTTAAGCCCAGCATGCAAAGAAACAGCCAAGGTCTCTGTCCTCAGTGTGTTTAGAAAAACTGAACTCCAAGCATCCATTTGTTTGAGTAACCAAGCCAGATGTTCAATAAGGAACTAGCTGGTTTGTTCTGGAAGTGCAGACTTGGTCACTTGGCTTTGTGTTATCACCAAGATCAGGATATTAAATTGCAATGTCCAAGTCCCAAACCCCAGTGTTGCCTGTTACAACACACAGAAACCAGTACATTTTGATATAATAATGAAATAAGAGTTGTAACCCATTCAAGTGTTGACCTGTCTAAACACTTGTTTTAGGTGGAACTATGGATATTTCTCAAAAATATCCAATTCCAGTTCCTAATTGAAGCAAAATTTGAAGATCCATAGGTTTCATAGTTTGTTGCAATGCCTCCTAAAATCTTGCTCATGGGGTAAAAGAACAGCAAACATTGCTGACAAAACTGAGGCCCTTAACTTTAATTAGACTAGTAATATTTTCAGTACAACAGCTCCTGGTGATCACTCTGGGAATAAAGAAGGCCTAAGATTACTGAGCAGGGCAGGACAGATTAGCTCCACAGGGGAGATATCTCCCTGACAGATCCAGGGGCTTTTGCTTTGCTCATGATCAGCAGTGATGGATGGAATCCACTGTTCAATTCATATATTGCTCTGTGGCTTAAAATAAAAAAAACCACCTAAATTTAGCTTTCTTTATAAAATTGCATTCATCTGTAAGAACTTGAAAAGCATCCAGCTGTCTCTAGTGAATGCAGACTTTTAGTATCACATACAGTAAAACTGGTTAATAAAAGATTATTAATGCTATTGTATTGAGGTGCTGAGGTAAATGCCTTTTTTAAGGTATTTTGAGGTAAATCCCCCGTTTTTTTGAAGGGGGTTTCTGTACCTCAAAGTGCAAGAAGCCTTCAAGGGAGTCTTCTTTGTGTTATTCAGTAACAAACAACTGAAGACTATGTACGGTGGAGTTAAGCATTCAAGTAGGGTTAGAATTGCATTTGTTGCTGGAAGGACAAGTTAGCACAACTGGGAAAAAAAGTGCTTTGATTGGGTGAGAGCCAAGGGCAGGCACTGTCCAGTCTAACTCAGTGCCTGCTGGAAGAAGTGTCCTTGCAGAAGAAACACCGTTTGGACTCTGCTTAACAGTAGTTGACAAAAACACCCTTGAAGCTGGATTTTGAAATTAAAACAGTGCCGGGACACGTAGACAATTAATAGTTCTCCACCTTAGCTACTGGGAGCAAGGACTGAGACCAGATAAACTTGTTTTCCTTGTGATCACTGGCTGTATAAGAAGGCTGGCAGCTCCCTAGCATTAGTCAGTGAAAAGGTTTATTCTCTGTTTGGTTCTCCTGCAGCATAAAGCCTGGAGAGGTTGTGACAGAATGTCTTCTGAAAGCTTTCTGAAGGAAGTTCAAGCCATTGGTGAGAAGTTTCTCCTCAAGCTCCAGAAACTGCCCAAGGCTGAGCCAGTGGAGATTGTCAGTTTTTCTGTGGTTCTTCTGTTTATTGGTGAGTTTGTGGATGGAGGCAAAGGGGTGTCAGAATTTCTCTCCTCTCCTATGGGGGCAACTTGCTCCACAGGCTGTGTAGGTGGGTTGGTGGTGTTGGCTGTTGTTTTCTAGGCTGTGCTCTAAGGCCCAGGTTAATTCCTGGGTAATTTTTAACATTCAGTGTGTCCCTTACATGGTTGCAGAGCATGACAGGAAACAGTACAGCTTTCCCCAAAGCTCCCATTTTAAACATTAGTTAAATCAGGAATATTTTAACCAACCCAGAGCTGCTGTAATGTTTTGATGCATAGGAGATAGTTTATGACAAATGGTACTAGAGCATCTCCCTGCCACAGAAGACACTTAAGAGGGGCTCTGAGTGTCATTCTTGTATTGGCTCAGTGGAACCCAAATATACTTCAGAAGGGCCTATTTATTCTCCTCTGATAATGGCAAGATCCCTCCTGCTGCTCTGTGTGGGGATGGCATGGAAGGATCAAGAACTGTTGGATCAAGGAGGATGAAGTTTGTTTATATAATGGGAAAATAAGCAGGAAGGAAGACAGGCCCTGCTCCTCAAAGACAGGGCTTGCTCCCGGCCAAAAGGAAGGGTGTGTATTCAGCTGGACACTCCTCCCTGGGCTGGAATTCACAATGTCACACCTGCTGCTTTATTTGGTTCATCCCTACAGCTGGTTCCCCACAGGTCAGGTTACCTGGCAGCCCAGGTCCAGGCTTTAAAGGAACACATGCACACACAGAGGCATGCTCACACTCTTACATGTTCTGCAGGATGGAACATGTCATCCTTTTCTACTCCAGATAAACTAACACATCCCTGCCAACACCTGCCATCCTGGCTAGAGGACAGTCAGTTAGCCCACTGTTCTGTGAAACAAACCCCTGCATTTGAAGTATCTTATTTTTTCAAGCTAAATACAGAAGAGTAAAGCCAACCCATGAGTCTCTATGCTTAAAGAGTATGCTGAACTCACTCTTCAGAAATACAACTGCCAGTTTGAGTAACCAAACTCCCTCGAGTCTGGTTACTCAAAAATCCAAAGCTGGATTTTCATCCTTTCCAGGCACATGGCTGTGCTTAGGTACTGCATGTCAGCTCCCAAACAACAGCCCATTAAGTAGGTAAAGAAACCCTCACATGGTTTGGAATGTAGCTCTTAAGGTCTTGAAATGCCTGGTAATGATTGTCCAGATTAAATGGAAAACCAATACAAAGGAGCAGGAACTTAGGAGGAGGAAGATGGGGATATAGGGAAAAAAGATTCTCAAGAAACCAGGCTTTGCTCATTTTGCTGCTCACCAAACAACTTGGAGGAGACATAGGGTTACTCTGCAGTAGGAGGAGGAGACATAGGGTTCTCTGATTGTTCCTATGCTATGAAGCAATATCCTTTGTTTCTCTCTGCAGTTACTGTGCTGGTGCTCACGATCATTGCCTGCAGTTGCTGCTGCTGCAGCTGCTGTGGCTGTGATGGACGCCCTGATCCCAGACGCAAGAAGAGCCAAGTCAGCCCAGCTGCCCATTCCTGAAGTGACACAACCTGCTATCAAGGACACACATGGATATCAGGATTCAGTGCTATGGGAATGACTTTCCACGCTAGCCCACTGAAAATGGCAATAACAATATTAATGAACATGACTCAAAGGACCAGAAATCATAGCATGGAGTTCCTTCTCTCTGTGATAGCCATAACTGCGACCAGAAAAGTAAAGCTCCTTTACCATCACTGTGGCCCTCTTCTGGGCTGGGATGGGGTGGGAGGAAATGGACACAGATTGCTGAGAAAAGAGAGAGCTTTCCCAAAGACAGCCCTGCAGCTGGGCCAGCTGAGGATTCCCCCCAGGACATGGAGCTACGGAGCAAAGCAGAGGCCACGCACACAGCCACACACGAGGCACTGCCTGCTCCTGCTCTCCTCACCAGAAGGATGGTACTGGGCATTAGTAAAACCCACTGACACCACTGGGGGGTCCAATTGCTCAGGTCATCATGGATCAAGGCCAAACTTGCTTCAGGAGACACGTTTAGCTGAGATATCTGCTGGAAAGAACAAATGGTGGACCGTCTCCTCCCAATGTGCCAGCTGAGGCTCTGAGTACAGCTTGTGTCATTTCATTGGTGATATGATGATGGGAAATTGCCAAAGAAAACAGATCATGTGGAATACTCTTTGTAAATAGAAAGATGATGGCAAAAGGGAAAAACTCACCAATCCTATGGTTTATTTTGATCATTCTCTGCTCAACATGCTCCCTCTCCACCCCCTGTGGTTCCTACCCTTCTGCTTATTGCAGATAAATGGCTCTTGCAGAGCATGGGAGCTCCAGGAGATGAACAAATCCCAATTCTTACTTGAGGGATCTCTGTGCCTGACTCTCTGCACTGTGTGCAGTTTATTTTAGTAGACATGAACATGATGCCAAGGGTGTGTTTATGAGCAAGCACAGAGGCATTTCAGAGGAGTGACACATGATGGGAGCCATCACTTCAGGGTATGTGTGCAGCAGCTGACAGCGGGCACTGTGACAGAGCAGAGCCAAGAATGGGCTGCTGGGCTGGAGTTAACAAGTGCAAATAAATCCCTTTTCCATGCTGCAGCCACTGTGCATGTTTGGTTTACACTCTGGTGAACTTCCGAAAGGGATTTACCGACGTACAAGGCTGTGGCACAGGCCACCACTTCCACAACTAGCACAGCACAAGAAGGCCACAATTCTGCACTAAACTCTGAACCACTGGTGTCTCAGCCACAAATGGGAGACCAACCATCTTTGTGAGAAGGTATAAACAATTACATTAATATAGAGAAGTCATCTTTTGACTCTGTATCCCAACTAAGTGTATGTACCAAAGCCAACGTCTAGCTAGGGAGAACAGAATCATCAAGCTTTTAACAGTGGGTTTTAAAATACTCTTTACACTTCAGGAGGTACAGAAAAATAAAGAAATCTCTGTATAGAAATGTATTTTCTCTGTTGCCTGCACCCATATTAGTAAAAGGCACATTACTTCAGCTTCTTATGTATTTAATGCACTTTATTTTTTGCCAACAAACTGGATCTAGGTATTTGGTATTTTTGTACTGCTGCACATTGGACTATATCTGCAGCCAGAGACACAGTCTAAGAATTATAAGAAAAAATAAAATTCCTAAAACTACCAGTGTTACTTTTAAATTAATAAAAAGAAAAACTTTCCAGTGGAAAATGAGGATGTTCTTTAGAAATAAATATTTGAGCTCAGCTGACAACTATCCAGAGCAGACTGCACTAGCATGAACTATTTCATGCACAGTCACACTGAGACAACAAAGTGTAAAAAAAAAAAATTATTAGGTTGTCCCAAAGCTTTCACTGCCAACCAACATGTTAGGGGGAAACAATCTCAAGCATGGCATCAATTTAAACATTCAGAGGTGCATCACACCAACCTTCGTTCACATAAGTCTTTGCTCATTTCACTCACAAACAAGTGGCAATCAAAGTGACATCAGGAGCCTCAGAATCTCTTTTACAAAGACAGCCTCAACAGATGTTTTTGTATCTAGATTAAGTCACAAGACCCAGGGAAGAACAGAGCTCACTTTCTTTCCAGGCTTGTGCTAGACAGTGCCAGCTGCAGACATTAACAGCATCCCATTGAGGGCTGTTCCAGCAGCATGGAGCCAGCCTGTGCAAAGACAGGGGGAAGCTTGGCAGGCTGGACACACACCAAGGGCTGACAGGTTGCTGTCACTGGGAACAAGCTGCCAGGCCTTATCTCAGCAGGAAAAGCCACAAATGCATGTTTCCCAGTGGTGGTACAAGTTAAACCACTGACAGATACCAGGCAGAGGAACAAGAGAAATGGCTCCTGTCTTATCTCAGCCACTGCGAGTTCCTGAATTAGAAAAAGAATAAACACAGCAGTGTTAGAAAAAGGGAAGGAAAGAAAAACAGGCAATCCTCTAAAGGATTCAGGTGGCTTTCTGGAGCAGAGGACCAGCTACCATGTAGAGGGGGTCAATTTCTACACACTTGTTTGGACCTCACAGGCCTGATGTTCTGCTTTGGACTATTTTGTAGCACTGCACTCAGCTGGACTATTCCTACAGCTGGGATTCAGACATGTCAGTTGTTTGCCTGATCTGCTGCTTTCTTGCACGCATTCAGGGTAACCTGAAAGATGCCAGCAATTGCCCAGCTTCCTGCAGCTCTTCAGCTTCTGCTGACTACAAACCTGCTGGTCCCTGGGTCCCTGCTCAGCACTCACATAAACTTTTGTGTTTTGGCTTCAATCAGTACTCAAATACAGGCACCTACAGGGAGCAGCAGTGAGAATGGATCCTCTTGTTTCAACCTGCAGAGGGAAATTCAGAAAAGCACAGAATAAGGCAAGGCTACTTCTAACACAGCAACTGCCATTCATATTGTGAAAGCCTAGGAGGAACTGCACAGGAATACTGTTACTTCAGTCGTGAGGATAAAAAGTGTTGAAATTGTTCCTTTCCCTGGGGAACCTCAAAGAGCCAGCAAGGCCAACCCCTCCAGCAGAAGTGGTTTAAGTTCTACTGATGACTTAATGGAATAGCTTCTGTTCTGTAACATTATCCCTCTGGTTTGCTTGGATCGTGAAAATTAAGTTTCCTTTTATACAGGCAGTGTCACACATCACACTCCTCCTTCTGCCCTTCCTTCTCTCTCCAGCACCATCCCTCTGGCCTTCTCCAGTCAGGAAAGTGATAGAGAGTTTTACTGCAGCTCACAGCAGTGCAATGCTCTGGAATAGGTTTATTCACCTGAACTGTCACCATGAATTTTGGACTGCAGGGCAGTCCTGTTCAGTCTCACTCCAGTCTCCTACTGGAGCTTGCAGCACAGACCCAGTTGGGATCCAGGAAACACAGCCCCTTTCTCTCCACCACATCCTGCAGCCTGCCCCAGACAGAGGCCACAGTGGGTCTTTACAAGCCTGCAACAGCTGTAGGAGTGGATAAAGCCTTAAAGAGGAAGAATGTCTGAGAAACAGCTGAATTAGGACTTTTTAGTTGGGTTCAAGGCCTTTGATTTGATTAAATTAGCCACACCTTTGCAGGAATTAATCAGCTGTTAATCATTTACTTCAGCCCAAAGAGGAAACTTCCAGGCTACCTCTACAAGTCTCCAGGTACAGCAAGGGGTCCCCTCACCACAGGCCAAGATCTCTTGGAGAGGTGAAGAGGAGGCAACAGAGGAAACCCCTGCTACAAACCACAACAGCTTCAGGTATTTATAAAATGTCATACAGCTCTCCTGTTCTGGGAGGTGAACTGCACTTAGCAAAAGAGACAGGAACTTCCTGGGGTGTGCAGTCCCACAGGATTTCTGCCCTTGGGTCTAAGGAACTTATATCTAGGCTGCCTCCTTTTTGAAGGCAAAGGAATCCAGAACAGCTTTGATGTCCCATCATGTGCTGGTTGGTTAAAGGCTGAGCACAATGATCTGCCATCTACCCAAAAAACAAACCATTAACTGAATAAATCTGGCTGTTGAGAAAGAAACAAAAACTTCAGCAAGTGTGAGCTTGTGCTTCAACTCAAATCCAGCCTAACGAGGATGAAAGACTTTACAGGAGTAATTCTTCTTCTTCTTCTTAGCGTATACAGGATACAGACATAAGAGGCAGCAAATCAAGCAAATTTTCAAAAATAACCTGTAGCTCTTCCTGTATTACATATACATAATCACATTTGCAAGAAAGTGTGAGAAATACTCCATCCTTTCCCTTGAGAATGAAGAAAGCTTTAGTAAAACCACAAGATGCTCAGTAAGAGATGCTGAATGTTCTTTAGAAAGCTGACAGCAAAGTCATTATTCAAAGTATCAGTGAAAGAGCAAGTGAGTAGAACCCACTGAGATCCCAGTTTAAATTATTACTGGACCTCCTTGTGGGAGGAAAATTTATGCTTCTATTGCAGAGTAACAGAAACCATTACTAAAGCAAACTTCATTAGCAGGAGTTTAACATAAAATTAGGACACCCTTTTTAACATATTTGGACTATTCTAAGCCCTATGGAAGAAATAAGTTGTACATGATCCTTGCTTATTATTGGTGGGTTTTTTCCCTTGATTGTTTTTAAATAAATGTTCCTTTAATCTCCATTGTGACCTCAGAGTTTAAGCCCCTAACTCTACCTTTTAGAGATCCTTCCAATGTTATCAAGGAATTTCTCCCACTGAATACTTGTCTTTCATGTATAGGCTGTACAGCTCACAAAGAGTTCATATTGCACATGCTGGAGAGACACTGTATTATTGAAAATATTGATAAGCTATGATTAAAATAAATCTCAACTGCCAGAATGCTGTAGAGCAAGCAGCTTTTCCTCTTTACATCTCTATAGATCTGATTGTTAAACCAGTCTCAGCTGGATTTCCTCTGGTTTATGCTCCCATTTCTGTGAAGGGTGACCCTCCTTTTGGAGGGGGGTGCCTGCAGGCACAGACACCAGGTATACCTGCACTGGTTTTGGGGCTGTGGCTGAGGGCATGGAGAGAATACAACACCTCTGACCCTGTTGTTGTCTGTCCCCAGCAGGGTGGAAGCCAGCATGTCACTAGAGCAAGAGGCATCCTCTGAGCTGCAAGACCTAAAGAGCCTGATTGCAACAAGTGGTTGGGCTCTTGGAGGGCTGGTGGTGATTGTCATCTTCTGTTTTGTTTTTATTGCTCTCATATTATTTGCTGGTATCTTTGGATGCTGCACATCTCCAAGGCACAGACGGGGTGGCTCATAGACAGCAAAGTGGGGACACAGAACTTGGTACAGCTGAGCAAGAACCAGCCTGGGTACAACCTGATTGTGTTGTCCACAGAAAACTCTCATCTCACTCCCTGGGTGGTTATTTCTCTCCATGCAACTTCCTTGCATCAATGTCCCAATGCCAGCAAGTTGTTCTGCAGGCCACAGCAAACTCACTACATGAGGCTGCCTGGATTCAGGAACTGCAACATTCAGCAAATACCAAAGTAAACTCATCTCTGATTTTCATCTTTCAAGCAAAACCACTAGCTAGAGGTGGCAAATGCTCAGCCACCACCTAAAGCTGATAAAGATGTGTTCTGCTGCTGCAACTACATGTGTTGGGGGGGGGGTTTCATCTTGCAAAAGGGCAGTAGGAAACTCTGGCCACTGAAAGCTTTGAACCCACTCTCTAAAAGCAGCTTAGACCATTGTTCTCCTGTAATACTCAGGCCTAAATACACTATGCAAAAACTTACTTGCCAGTACACAGTCTGTCTTTATTTGTTCTTATTTATAACCTTGCAAGGTCAGAGTTTGAGGTTTGCTTTCACTGTTTGGATAGTGAGTAAAACTGTAATAATTCAATATGTAAAAAAGAAATGCAACGTGGCTTAGCTTTCCACAGCACCTCAGTCACCTGTAGAGTTATGAGCAGGGAAGCCAGGCAGGGGTGCTGCCATTTGTGACTCTGGGATGCACAACCCATAATATGCATTTGGAAGAGTGGATCAAGCTGAGTAAGGGAAGAAAAAGTCTGGGAGGGGTGATTTCTGATTAAGTCAGTGATATTCCTTTACTCAGATTATTACTTTGAGGGTGGTGAGATACTGGGACAGGTTGCCCAGAGAAGTTATGGATGCCCCATCCCTTGGAAGGCCAGACAGGATGGGGCTTGGAGCAAACTGGCCTAGGGGAAAGTGTCCCTGCCCGTGGCAGGGGGTTGAACTAGGTCATCTTAAAGGTCTCTTCCAACCCAAACCATTCTATGATTATACAAAACCCAGCCACAACAGCCATCTGTGATCTGGGAACATACATCAGAAGGGGCAGAGCTCCTGAGACAAGTGGATCAAATTCTTAGGAAAAGAAGTCTCCCAGCAGCTACTTCACAGCATCACCTTGACTTTGGGCAAAGAAGTGCCCCTCTGAGTGCCCCAGGGCTCACTGTTGTGCCACGCTTCAGTACAAACAAGACTATCCCATAAACCTGGGATTTGTTTGCCAAACGTGACAAGGAGAGAACACTCTCACCAAAGCATCAGAAAAGCAGCATGTGTTACATTCATGCTGAAAAAGCTGTCCTAGACCCACATATGAAAAATGAAACAAAATGAAGAACTTGTAAGCATGACACACAAAGATCATTTTCAGTTAGTGGACATATACTGCTCTCTT